CCACTCAGCCCTGTGATCTCGTATAGCTTACGATTTTGATTGCCGATGTCTCAGTCCCGGTTTTCACCCTTCATGTACGGGTTATATGTGGTAGGTGTTCTGCTGACACTAGCGCCTTCCGGGTGAATGTTAGTTTAGGGAATCACAAATTACCTTTCCTTGGAGACAATCACCAGTTACGGTTGTTTATAATGTTCGCATCCCATGCGAGTTTGAATTTTTTTACGCCTGGCTGATAGAGAAAATATCTGCATACTTTACACTCCCATATGTGTCTGAACAAAATGGGGATTCTACAAAAGTACGTTTGGTTTCCAGTCATACGCTGATCTAAAGGCTGCGAAAAATATCTCCGGTCACCCGTAAGCCGACTCGTTTATTCGGCTCTGCTATCCGATATGGGGGGAGGGGAGGGGGGCACAGAGAGAGAGAGATGACCCGGTCAGGATTCACGGCCTTGGCGCTGCTCATGAATAAGGTTAAAAGACAGCACTATGCAGGAAACAGTCGTTCCGCATAACACATAGCCACATGGTGTCGCCGTTCGGGCCAGCTGCCAGCAAGTCTTTACACAACCTGGTTGTTTGTATATGAGAACATCACACAAAAGTTGGGAGACAAACACAGGGCGGCCCTGAGTTACAGGTCCGGCCTTTTCACCTGGGTATTTCTTTTGGCAAGACCACATACAACGCATGGAATAAGTCGGGTGCCGATGAAAAGCAATATGCTGGCCTTTTCAGACTGGCCGCGGCGGCCCCAGGCAAAAGCATCGGTAAGTCCTTGGGATACATACGTTACTAACGATAACGATTACACTTAAGTGATCCTCGACTATCTACGACGGGGGTTTAACGTTTTGTATCTTCACAATGTTCCGTCAATGCCTAAGAATTCATATCACTGGCATGTCGTATCGCACTATATAGGCACATGCACTGAACATACACAGCCAATAATTTGAACAGTAAGGTCAATTTTCAGGCTGGAGGCTGCTGCTGCCTGGCGCACCGGGATGGTGAGTGATTGAGCCACTTTCTTTACCTTCATTGCGCATGGTCTGTGCGATAACTGACGGACTAGCTGGGGTGCCAACACAGTAATATGCATGTAGCCCATACACATATGTAAAGCAGGTTTTCAGGCAAGTTCAGGGGATCATAAAAAAGTTTTCATGACGGCATATGCATCCCATCGAAAAGGATCCCAATGTAAATCGATGCCACAGAGAGATAGGAAGTGGCATCGAACGTAATTCCAACAAAGCGTCGCGTCGCGAATTTAAGTGCCCTGCCGGCCGCGATGAACGAAGCCTCAATCAAGCGCACGCTTCCGTTCGGCTGACTCTTCGATTTACGATTCGTGTCAGGTCATCGCCGCGATCCGGTCATAATGATAACCAGCACAGAATTTGCTGTGGACGGGAACCCGCCCAGCGCCCATCCGGAGGTTTATAGTCGCGATGCAGGTTCACAACTGATGCCCATATTGCGATGCCTTCCGACATGTCAGCTCTTCGAACGTTATACGCTACGGCTGTTTATAGGCGTAGCACACAGTAAAGGGCTGCTGCAATCGTTTCTTGGACACCACCTAGGACAGGGGAGCGAGCAGTGTGGCACTGACGCACGTCACCAGCAGTGCGCGGCTAGGTGTGCACAATGGTCGGTCCAGAGCTGCGGTGTAGGGGCTCACCTGGCTAATTGAGGTGCAGCGGGAGCAGCTGGTCATAGCAGGCGCCGGGCGGTGCTGGCGGGACAGCGCTAACACCTGACGAAGGGGGGGGGATGCCTGGTCAGCAGGCTTGACACAACACAGCTGATGGGTAAGCTGATGGCTGATAGGATGCTGACATGGAACTGTGTGCTGTTGAATAAATTCATTTGGAGGAATTTTTCCCACTGAGAATGCATACTGAATGAACACCAAGTGAAGGTTAAAAAGATCTTCTGGAGGCAAGGTGATAAGCCATTCCAAAAGGAAATAAATCCAACCAACTTTTTGCTTAAAGGGTAGGTTGTAGTGAGCATTACTCATGTTTTCCTTCAGACATAACAAACATAATGAATCATCACCCACACACTCAGCGAAGGTTCACCAATTAAAAATAGGCCCCAGTGCCAAACAATATCATCCTGGGTGCAAAATGACAGATTTCTTCACACCCATAAGCCTCAACAATTATCATAAGAAATAAATGTCTGACATCATGTCCAATCTCACAGAGCATTCTGGAGTGACTATTTGACAACAGATATATACCCAACATTTCATGGACACAAATACAAACAAGGCATTCCCAGAAAGTGGGACACCAATGATACACTTAATAATGAGCATGGAATGGAACAATGGCTTACAGTATTCAAGACCCACACACTAGGCCATTATACTGTTTGGAACAGAACACAAACATAGCAACTTATGTTTTGCTTAATAAATCTGCCCAGCTCTTCATGAGCCAATTAATTATGAGTATGTGAGCATGTAGAGTGCAATTACAAACAAGCACAGAAAGTCACTCAACAGTACTTAATTGTAGGCCTGTAACATATCCAGAGAGCTGGATTATGTGGCAACCATTATCAATGAAAATACTCAAACATAACATATGTTGTGGTTTAAACAATCTAAGGCTGTTTCATTCCAGTGAAATTATGATCCACATGCTGCCACCAATTGTGCACACTACCATAGGGAGTGGTTGATGTTTATTACACATGTATTTCATGAGTGAAGGACTCTGAAGTTCAAAACAGGTCAGAGGGTTGCAATGCAAAAATTCATCCAATGCACCAGCACTTGTAAGCTTGCTGAACTTGCCCTTTGCATGAGCTTAACTCAGATAGGGCTAAATTTCAACAAATTCTGCTATGCTAAGTAGATCTGTGCAGCCTAATATACATTTTACTATACAAAAATACAGATTAAAATTAATTATTTCCTGGATGAGCATGAGCACAAGTGCCAGGTCATAAAACACACGTTACTCCAGCCAGTAATCCATAGCATCACAATGTTTCAAAAATAATTTTGGACAAATATACCCTGAAGGAACCTTGGTGTGAGCATCTGCTTTTGAATCAGGGCAATTTCATATGGCTGAGAGCAACACATGCAAACGCGAGGTTCAACACACCAATGTTGCGCACACCTCTGGTGCAGTGAACAAATTGGCTGCCGACTGGCTGTAATGTGACACATGGAAGGAAGCATCATATATGCCACCCACTCGCCCATTTCAGCTGATCTCTTTATAACTGGCAAGTGCAGAATGCTGCCCCCATAGCCCGAGGGGCAGATCAAGTCAATTTGTATTCCATATGCAATAAATGAAATAAAACTATCCACAACCACAACGATCGATCAAAATTTCACGCTATAAAAAGCATACCACAAATATGACGAGCACACGACCGGATATCTGGCGATAGCTCTTACGCCCTGGATAAGCACATGCCAGGTTAGTGCATGCGGCATCTATTACCTAGGTATATGAAGGGCTGGTGCATATATTAGCTGATCAGAAGATGCTGATAAACGACCAACACGTTAATGTTACACACGGATGCCCGGCGATTGATAGACGGATTCAGCTTGTTTTTGCATATATTGCGCAGATGCTACGATATGGCAGCATTTTCAGTTTCCTTCATGTTTCATTAAAAGCTTCATAATGGGATGAGCTGACCGAGCTGACTTTCACCGTTCCAACCTGGGACCAGCCAACAGGTCGAAGGGTGGGTTGCTACGAAAGCTGACATTTGCCTTCGCGTTCCAATTTTCCGACGTTGGTTCCTCGTTCTCACTTGCTCCTCATGAAATGAGACCCTGTATCCTTGTTCCCAATGGTTCTTTCCTGCGGTTCACTGTCTGCTGAATGATTGCCAGTCCCTAGTTCCAGACGCTCACTGGCTCCATTCCGAACACAGAACACGTGGCTTAATTCGTTTACACTCCTCACTGAAACTAACCAATGCAACAACCAATGCATGCAAAAATCAATGTCATTACCATGCCGGCATAACGAAATGCGCCTGTGGTTCTGGTGTGGGGCAGAATGCCGACTGCTTACGGTAACACGTCATCGCGGACTAAACACACCCAAACAGACACGGAAAAATAAACCCTTTTTCCAAACAAACCCAGAAAAGAGATCGTTGCTCAGCCCATGGGATAAATTTGCTCCCCACAGCACAGATACAGACAGAAAGCCATGCTTCGAAATTCGTGGAAACAGGCGGCTCGCTAACCAGCAGCAACGTGTGCTAGGTGCTGACGACAGGACGACAAAACATACAAACAAAACATACAACAAACACACACACCACACACCACACACACACACACACACAACACACACACACACACACACACACACACACACACACACACACACACACAATACATATATAATATACATATATATATATGTATATATATACGTATATATATATATATATATATATATGTATATATATATGTGTGTGTGTGTGTGTGTGAGTATGTGTGCATGGCACATTTATATAGGCATACATATATGTGCGTGTATGGTCGCATTATGCGTAATAGCTACACATACATTGTTATTGGAACGCGTATGTTCGTCGCGGCTACACGAGCTGAAAGGGTCAAATCACGTGATCTTGAGATCACAAATATATACACCTTTGAACAGCTAGGAGAATCAGGGCGCGTATAGGACTCTAGCTTAATATTTATTCCTTTGAGAATAATCATGATCCTCACAGACGATTCAATTTTAGTTCACATAGTTTTGACAGAATTTTGCTGCTCTTAGCGGTGCTTCTGACACTCACATTTCTCCACACAAAGTTCCGTGCGGAGAAACGTCTTCTCTTTTGACAATGCAGCAAACGAGTACGTTGACCTTCAGGCCCCCGGAGGCAGTCATCCACGCTTTCGCAGCAAACGAACCAAATCATGTCGAAGACCACGAAAATGTCGGTTGGTCGGCAGCCAGCGTGCACATGATCCGCGCCGACGTCGGCGGCGGCCGGCCTGGGCGGGGCGCGCCGGACTTTCGACTCGACTTGGCAGCGGCCCGGGACGGCCTCGGCCAGCGGGCGCCGGCGCCAGGGCTAAAAATATGCGTGCGGATGTCGGTTGCACCGCTTGTCACCCTCTTCCCGCCAGCCTAATTCACACTCGCGGGCTGTCCCGCCGCACGGAGATGGAGATGGGACGTAACCTAAGCGTGGGGTTTGCACATGCCCGTCAGGAAGCTCGTCTTGTTCAGACTTGGTTACCACAGCTCGTGCATTTTAAAGCTGTCGCGTGGGCAGACAGGACGGATGCCACCATAGTCGGTAATCGGTGTCACCAGGGGCACAGCCAAGGGAAGGGATCATGGGACTTTAGTCCTGCCTCTCAGGATCAAGCACAGTTGTTCCCATGGCACTGCTGGATATCATTTTGTAATCTGGTAAATTATTTCGGCTTAAAATCTCATAGAGTAACATGGAAAATGGCATCCTGCGTTCAACAACAGTAATTTAGTTCCAGGCCAGCGAATAGGCGGATGGATGTGTACAGCACGCAGCTCAGCTGTTGGCTTTCAGTGCCGGGGCAAAGCAGCACTGAGAATTCATTGATGCGTTGGGTACCAGACCTATTAGCGTTTGTTAAGTCTGTAGTCTGTTTGCAGTGCGTAAGCGCCATGAGTGTAGCTAGGACTGGTGCCTAACAAAAATGTCGCGATTCAGCCACAAATCCTGGCTGCATCCAGCCAATCACATACTCCGGGTTTTGTCAAATGTCATGCATTGACACTCGTTTCCAGCCCCACAATGACTCTTAATTTGGCTACATGAACAGGGAACGGGCTCCGTTTCCAGGAACCCAAGCCCTGTCCGTGCGAACGGGTTAAGATTCATCTCCTAGATTTATAGCCTCCCTTTCTGACCCAAACACCCCAATTTCCAATGAGGTAAACGGTCGAACTACCCTTCAAATTACCATAGGTCTCAGGCAGCGTCCGTCACAGCGCCTGAGAACCCAGCGCAGTGGGCCGCACGGGCCGCTCGGCGGGCGCGCGCCCCTCCCTGCGCCCCGGCCGCCGTACATAAGACATTGGCCTGGATCGGCGACGGCGGCGGAATGTCGCCCCGGCTCGCGGCGGCGACTCCGCGCCTCCGCTCCAGACGCAAATAGACGGCATGGCGCTGCCGGCCGGCGGCCGTCGCGCCTCAGCCGGGGCGCGGCGCGCCGGTGTCAGCGGCGGCCGCGCCCGTGAGGGCCCGTTGACGCGGCACGCCGAGGCTGACCCGATAACACGGAGCGCCGATTTATCGGGCTGGCCGCTAAACAAATGGCTGATATTTCACCCTGGCGTTAAATGTCGACATGGGTGTCGTTTCGCCGGAGTGCGTCGGTCAGTCAGGTTTTCAAAGGAGAAGCGAAATTGAAAGTTCGTGGTGTCTTCATGAGCGGGTGGGAAGACTCAGATTATCTGTCATTACGGGCAAGCACGCGAATGTATAGCAAACGTAGATGGACGTATGCATGCCAATATTTGTCTCCGTAGATCATTGAAAAGTTAGCGATCTAGACATTTCTCGTTGGTACACTTAACACGATTAGCCGTCTAAAGCTATGCATATTAAAAACGCGGCACAACGTTGCTTTTCTTTGACGCTGCTTTTCGTGACGCGGCATTCCAAAACCATAATACTTTCATCGCGACGCGCAGCTCCCATCATAGTTCCCCCAACCCTCAACCACAAGATTCTTCCAACATCAGGGATCACGCGGATTGGAATGGACCGGGGAAGGTGTCCAAAACGTCTCCACGGTGCTGTCCAGTAAGTGTAATGCGCATTCTTTTCAGAAGCTCGTCGTTCCCCGGTCCGCTTGAGATGACGTCATCGCCGTAACCGGTGGCGGGTCAGACGGCACGGCCTAGCCGGGGCCGTTCCAAGTACAGCTGGTCGATGCCGCTGCTGCAGCTACTGGCTACTCCAACACCGTAGATAATTAATCGTGTATGGCATGATGGATGGTGATACTCGAGCCACACTAATTTCCCGTAAGATGGCATATGACGCCATTCGCGGGACCAAGCAGTGTTTATTGAGAAGGCTAGTGCTCAGACAGAAGGGGCCGATTAATTGTGACGGGATCGTGGATCTCCAATCTGTGTTCATGGTTCTAATCTCACTGGCGGCCTGCCCCATCTTTGGAGTTGTTGAAATGTTAATGGATGGGCGGCCTTGGGGGCTGAACGGCTTTTGATGCAGCTTTGTACCCGGCTTTATCGTAAGGGTAAGCATAGAGGAAATACCATCTTTCCTGCACCTGAAAGCTGGCGCATTTGAGTGTCTAAGTGATTCCAGGAACTGGTCACATTTGCATGTTTGAACAAAAGGCATTCGCAACTAATTAACTGCGTATAGCAATAGTATTTTCCACTCTATCCGGGCATCACCATGCGCGCATTTATACGTTCATCCGTCTCTAGCGCGCTCTATCTCTAACACACCTTTATTTCTATGTAGACACCTCAACTCTTTGACACCGACACATACATCAACGACACTCGTTAGCTATTTTTGATCCTAAGACACACTCATACTCCCACTACCCAATGGTAAGGATCCGTTGCCCTTTTACTGGAGGAGGGCTGCCTTTAACTGGAAGGTACCTATCCCCATGGCGTCTCGGGAAAATGAGGCTCAAGAAGAAATGAAACATTGGTAGATGGTCACATTCATTCTGAACAATACTTACACATGTAACATGTAGCTCTGAGGTCGCATTATCATTTTCCCCTCCTTCATTTTTCATTTGCGTACGACTTCCCCGCACCCCAGTCTTGATGCCCAATGACGCACAACAATTTTTCGCAGTTCTCTTGCAAAGATATTTACGAAACATCAGATCCTTATAAAACGGATTGACAAGCTCTCCACACGGATCTCTTTTCCAAATGAAGACCACGTCATAGACGAATGACATTACAATGGCTTAAATATAAGTGCTGGCAAAACGCAGTTAGGACTTCACAAGGGCCGGAAGTCCGATGTGTTATTCGATCATGTTACATTCCATCATTCCAGCACATCAAATTTCCCCAGCTCACGGGTAAGTTGTGTTTTGTGAATAGCACTAATGTCCCCATGTTTTTTTTGTCTTGTTGATCTTTTGTTGTAAGCAATCGCCGCCTTCGTATAGTTTGGATTGCGTATTACGAGTCCAGGAAAAATGCCGCGCGTAACTGAACGTTGGGCGTCTCTACTGCAGGTAGTACCCGGTATTTATCTTTCCACTGCACTGAAGAAACATCAAACTTTGTAAAATATATTCAGCAACTTTCCAGACACACAAAACGAGCCCGCAACATGTTCGTCCGCGGACTAAAAAAGTATAACAACGATCCACTGCCTAAGCGGTTACACTGGAACACCTCGCGCACCCAAGTCCAGTTCCTCCAAGGTTCCGAGGCACACCACCCAATACACAATATTGAACAGGATAAACACTACCGGGTACACAATGACGGATGCCCGGTGTGCCTTGAAAAACCACTTCACCAGCATTTCTGTCAACGTGTTCGCACTCGCGATTTGCTCGTCCCGCTCGCCGGGGTCCTCGCCCTGCGCCGGAGCGCCTCCTGCCCGCGCGTACTTCATGAAGATCTCCACCACTGTCTGGCGGCGCGCCTGGCCGGTCAGCACGAACGTGTCGGTCGCCTTCCGCCGGCTCTCGCCGGACAGCATGCTCTCCAGCCGCACGTCCGCCAGGCAGTCGACCACCGCGAAGAAAGAGAGGAAAGTGCACAGGCACATCCACACATCTATCGCCTTAACGTAGCTGGCCTTAGGTACGTACTCACTGCCGGCAGCAAACAGCGACACCATGGTGAGCATGGTGGTGATGGTGAGCAGCATGCGACCCTGCGCCATCTCCGCCGGGATCAGGAATGAGATCCACGACACCACCACGAACAGCATCGACGGAATGTAGATCTGCATCATGTAGAACATGATCTTGCGTGTGAGGACCACGTACATGTGGATCTGGGAGCGCTCGTAGACGCTCTTGCTGCTCGTGTGAAATACACCTTTCTCAGCTCCGTCATTAGATCTGTGTAAGTGGTACGAGAACTGCGACAGGGTAGAGGTCGAGTAGGTTAGAGGCAAGTGTTCCGCCCAGGTCATGTTTGTCTCGCACGGGGAGGAACCGAAGCTTTGCAGGGCAATGTCACATATTTGTACGTCCATGGGAAAAAGGGCATAGTTGAAGGGGCAAGAAAGCTCTAGAACCAGATATTGGTTTGCGAAGATGGTGTGGTTTTCGTAGATGCGAAAACTGGTTGAAGGTACAAAGATCACTGGATTAATAACGGTGGCAGCATTTGGTATATACAAATCTGGCAGCCAAAGCATATTTTTCACGGTTGAGGCAATTTCTACATAGCCTCCAAGCGCGTTTCTTTTTATGTGAGTAAGCCTGAAGTCTTCCCACGAGTAGCGCAGATACATGGACAGAGTAACTTCGCCATTGGACACTAAGCTTATTTCGGCAATATGTACAGATATGGAAACTTTTGTTGGTGCAGGTATCTTGGGATCGCAATGAAATTTTGCTGGCGCTGGGCTATGTGCAACTGGCACTTTGCTGTCAAGCACTGTCGGTCTTCGTCGCCTCATGTAGTCCTTGGGAGTTATGATAAGACCATCGAATCTCGTACTTTCAAAATCCATGGCATGGCGTTTTCTCACTGAACTTGATGAAGCATCTTGTGCTGCTTCCGCCTCAAAGATGACCGCTGATATCGTTAGCGTGCATATCGCAATCAAGCATAGTTTGTTTTTGTTGTGTTCTGCCTGGATTCCTTTAACGATCATCCTTTCGGATGTTGTACGGTACACAATCGTGCTTGTTTTCTGAGTGTTCTTCAAGGAATGCTTGTCTTTGTAGCCTGATTGTTAATTTTAATATACTTGATTGCTAATGCTACGTTAGGTGGTACAAATGGGCACGGTGACGGATAACACCATGACAAACACAAACACCATCCAGTTAAACATATAAACGGTACCAGCCAACTTGACAAAATCGACTCCGTTTGAGAGATCGCATGTCAGAATGTGAGACAGGAAACAAATGAAAATAAAAGTTCAAGACATGCGACAAATCTCGTGATGTTGTTATGCCTGTACCCCGGTTAGCATCCTCATGTTTGCTACCAGGTTTTATGGTCATGCTAAATTAAAGTAGTCGCCAAATGCTGCATAGACGGGGCACGGTAACGTCCCTCAAATACGTAAGGGCTTCTTTAACAGTTCAGCGCGTCCCATACACAGAGTTTCCAAATACGCACTGTCGCAAGAAAATATCGGTAAATGTCGACGCAGGTCAACCAACAGATTCATGACGAGCTGTCGGAAATCGTGTGTCGGTGTCGAGCGCATGACCCTTTTAAGAACCACTTTTCATTGTTCTTAGGCATCGTTATTGTTATTGTTACCATTTTTATACGCTTTCACTAAAAACGAGATCACAGCTCGAACAGATTTAACACGCGCTCGAGTGGTAGTCAGTTTGGCCACTCCGAAAGCTTTTCCAGAAGGATTTCTGAACGACGCAGCGCGGACGGGTCCAACTTTGCACAGCTGTACGGAAACGAACAATCAACATTTTCATTAAAACCTAGCTGTACCTTGTAAGGTCGCTGACCAATGGCAGGTAAAAGTCAGGCCGTGGCTGTTAGCAGAGTCCATTTCTAGGGAATCGTTCAATCTGGTACCACAACGGAGTGTTAGACGAAGCCGTGCGTCACTGAAATGGTTTCTTAGACAATTATACGATTGGACGATCAACTTTAGTATTACGACAAATTACCTGGGCCAGGTATGAAGGCCAGACCGAAGCCAAAATCAATCTGCTTTTTTACTGGGTAGCTTACTTAATGGGGAAGTTTCTGATGCTGATATCGAATTTCTTGATTACAGGGACGGCAAGAGGCACTTCCTTTGGACATTTTAAAGTTCAGAGGTCACTGACCCGAAATAACCGAAATCGACTTTTCTTTTATGAGCGTACAGCCTAACATAATCACTCACGTTCAATCATCATGAGCTTCGTAGGGTCAAGCAAGGTCACTGACCTCAAATAAACACCAGTACGACTTGTTTGCTGATGTGTACACCATTGCGTTCTTTTGTCAATGTGTAAAAGCTGCCACGTTCGATCGTGCACAAAATAAGGATCCACTTGTTTTCAGACCATTGAGATTTGCGACTACACTCTCAGTATAGCTGAATGCACCGACCGCGTACACTTAAGCGACTCCAACACTGTCCGACACACATATGCGAGGGGAGAAGACCGTAAAGAAGCCAAGCCACCTTTTCCCAAACCGGTTTCGCACACAGCACGCGGTGGTCTAGACCGAAGTAGGCCAGGCCATGGAAATACATAGGTGCGTAATTTGGGCCATTCGAATCAATACCCTGTCAGGAGGTTACCGTTGTTCGCGATGCTTTCGTTAAAGCCATCGGAAACAGAACTATTCTATGTTCATCCACCTCGTCCATTAAATATGCAGGCATTGGGAGACTCAAAGCCAGCCGACGTTCCAGCGAAGTGCAACCTGTAGGTTCATTCTAGAAAATCTCTTTGACAACCCACATTTCATAATTGCCCAATTCTTACGTTTTGCATGGAAGCGGTCCATAGAATTCTAAAGAACCACTGTAACGTCAATCCCCTGCATTCATCGAGCACTAGCTGAGCATTGCGGCAATGTCAGCTGTGGAAATATAAGCGTGGGGCGAGCGTTGGGTTGGACAGTACCAGCAGGCGTATTACATCCTCACCAAGTGCACGGCACCAGTACACTGACTGGTAGCGCCGAGTTCGCCAGTGCCGGTATATAACCGCCTGCTTCTGAATTCATTAAGAGCAGGCACCAGTAGCGGGGGATGCCAAGCCTTGAAGCCTCTAGACCGGTACCTTGTTACTTAGGCTGGTATCTACACGACATCGATACGATGCCCGCAAATAATCACGGTATCAAGTTCGCGTGTTCTGCATATATGTATATATATATATATATATATATATATATATATATATATATATATAAACAAACACATAGCATGCAACAAACCATACAAACTGTTACGCAAATATATACAATGAGAAATAAGGTCTTGGTGACACCATGTCCGGGTGACGTGGGAGGAAATGGACGTTGCCACTACGGCTGTGAAGTATTTTAGAACGTTTCGAAGTAACTTACATCCAATTTGATGATTTGTGTAGCCTCATTGATACGACATTGGGTTCGCCATCTGAACACCCGGTTCGAATCCCGGCAACTTCAGGGAGAAAATCGGGATTGGGACACTTGTATGGCCATAACACACTCATATGGCCACTCAGGACACAATAACACCTGACAACGGCCGGATAATTAGCTGGTGAAGATGTCGTATACCTGTACCACCGGACGAGAACGATGGTTCGGATTATTATTCTAACCGGAATGCTTGCCGCACGCATGCTTTAAAACATGTTATGCTGAAACAACCTAACTCATATAAATAACTCACTCGTCATATAAGTTTTCAAACTTTGTTATCGATCCTCAGGTCAAGCCGTGTTCTAGTTTCCTTTCTCCGCCGGCCGGTCGCCAAACGTTTCCATCTCGCAGAGCATGCGCGCGAAATCACAACCACGGCAACGCACAGTCGGTCGGCTCCCGAGACGCCGCTGCGACAAAGGGACGCCAAACAAAGCAAAGCAAACTGTCCACAGCGTCCGACTCGTCTCCGACCCCCGTCAGCTTAGCTTCTTTTCAGCTGGGCCCGCTACACACACAGCGCAGGACAGGGTTGTCAGTTCAGGTAGAGTTCCTCGACTGAATTCCTGGCGAAGCGAGAACACAGAGGGCGGTCGCGACAGGCACCAGACCCCCTGAAACGGATTCCACCGAGGTCCTCCGGCTCAGCCCAGCCACTGACCACCCCTGTCAGGCAGTGCGACCTTCGCTTACCTGGTGCAGGTGCCGGCGGCGGGCCGGAAGCGACGTCCACACCGTCGACGATCACCACTGTCTCGGGAACGATCGGCGCTCCAGCTGGCCTCCGCACCGCCCCAGCCGTCGACGGCGTCGACCGTATCGATCGTCGCACGCGCCGCGCCGCCGCGCGCACCGCCCGCGCGCAGCGGCGGCGCGCACCGACGGCGGCGGAGGCGGCGCATCGCGGCAAGCGACGACGCGGGCAGAGCGCCGCGCCAAGGTCGCGCTGGCGGGCCGGGCACCGGGTCACTGGGACGCCGGTGGAGCGCGTCGGTGTGGGCTGTAGACCAGCCGTGATGGAGGTGCGACCGACCATACGGCCCATTCGCACGCGCTTATTTGCTGAATAATGATTGGTAACAATCTCTTTGTTCAGCTTCGATCCGAGCTAGTGGTTTGTTGTAGTTACGACATTTTGGTTTCAACTCGAATAAACGGCCCACAAATTTCTGGAAACCAGCGAGTGCCCGTAGCGCGATGATCCCAGTACACGATTTACTGAAGTAAGCTGCAGAAAATAACGCGAAACCCTGTTTCAAAGTTTGATATACCGGTGTAAGGCATGGTGTCTTCGTTCTGTAATTTTCACGCATTTAGGCGGTCACCACCAGCTTATATCGATCGGTTTCGTACCCAACGGTTAGCCTCAGCTTTTAGTGGCACGGGAGCGGGTGGATTCGATGTGAGTCACCGTTAAATTTTGTTCCGAGCTCCGATTCGCAATTTAAATCCCAGAATTCGGTATTGGATAACGACGCATGTTACTGCGGGTTTTGTTTTTTGTATCTGCTTTACAAACCTCAAAGGAAATGTCCGTAACCATCAACAAAGAATGAACCCAATTTGCAGCAAAACTTTTCCGGAATATCTTAAATTCTTTCATGACCGGCCATCCTTAGCGTATTCAACTTACCTGGCTCTCGTTGCATAACGTTCCATCGGATGCGCAGCATTAGGAAAAGTTTGATATCGTCACACTTCTGGCAGAGCAGGTTAAAATGCCAAGGCGCAATAGGCACAGCCAAGGCTCAAGCCCATCGCTCGCTCGAAACACAAGTGTGGAATCAAAATTAATGTCGTTTATTGTATAAAGACAAAGGCACGCAGTGACGTGGATTTCTACTTACAAAATGACTTGATCGACGGTGTCTAGTAATAAATGCAAGTGCGCAATAAATACTTATGAGATAATGAGGAGAAGAGACGGCACTTATGTGGTAGTGATTTCTCAGCTTGTTTCGGAACTGTCCAGTGTACGCGGCGTTTTATCTCAGTGGGCTGATAAAAGTGATGCGCATGCACCTTGCTGTACGTGTCTGTGTGACGATGTCGGGTCATATGGTGTGACTGGGTGAAATTGAAAAAAAAACTGAGGTCATGAGCACCATTCTTATGTTATCAACATGAATATTATTAAGCAAATCACACGATGAATACCAAAATCCTTCTCCAAAATGTTTTTGGCAAAGTGGTGTCAATGTCATTGTGGACATAATCATACGACAAGGTGCCTCCGGGTCCCCAGATATAAGAAAATATGGTGCTTATGTCAACCGGAAACTTTCGTTCCCATTAGTCCCCTCAGAAACGTCACGGTCAAAAGTTAAC